GTAGTGTTTCTTGTACTATGCCTTGTTTACTTCACTTAGCATAATGTTTTCTAGATTTGTCACTGTTGGGATAAATGGTTACCATTTCCTTCTTTTTTAAGGCTGAATAATATTCCACGGTGAATGTGTTGTGTATGTGTGTACATGTGTGTGTGTGTGTGTGTGTGCATGTGTGTGTGATTTATATCAATGTTCTTCATTCATTCATCCAGTTGTAGACACTGGATACTTAGTTCCATATCTTAGCTATTGACAATAATGCTGAAATGAACACAGAAGTGGAGATATTGCTTCAACATACTGACTTGATTTGCTTTGGATAAACCAGAAGTGGAATTGTTGGATCATATGATAGTTTTTAAAATTTTTTGAGGAAGCTCCCTTTCCTATAATAATTATTCTGATTTACACTCCTACTGACTGTGCACAGGTTCCCTTTTCTCCACATTTTCACATCCCCAGCCAACCCTTAGTTATTATTTTATTTTTGTAATAGCTAACTCTAATTGGTGTGAGGTGGTAATCTTGTTGTGGTTTTGGTATGTAATTCCCTGACTATTAGTGATGTTGAGCATTTTTTCATATACTTATTGCCCATTTGTATGTCTTCTTTGGAACATATTTATTCAGGTCCTTTGCCCATTTTACAAATCCTATTTGCTTTTTGCTAATGAGTTGTTTGGCTTCCTTATATATTTTAGATAATAATCACTTCATAGAAGTTTGGGTTATAAACATTCTCTCCCATCACATAGGTTGTCTCCTCAGTCTGTTGATTGTTTCCTTTGCTGTGCTTGAACTTTTTAGTTGGACACAATCTCATTTGTCTATTTTTGCTTTTATTGTATATAATTTTAGCGGGACATATCTTTAAAACATTGTCAAGACCAGTGCTATGGAACTTTTCCTCTTGTTTTCTTCTAAAAGTTTTATAGTTTAGGTCTTATGTTGAAGTGCTCAGTCCATTTGAGGTCGATCTTTGTATGTGGTATAAATGAAGGTTTAATCTCTCCTTCTATACATAGGTCTCTAGCTTCAGAAAGGAACAATGCTTTCCCTGTTGTACATTCTTGATATTCATGTTCAAGATCAGTAGAACCGAAATGTTTGGATTAATTTCTGGGCTCTCTATCCTGTTCCATTTGCCCCTCCATGTTTTTTTCAGGTTAGTACCATATGGTTTTAATTACTATAGATTTACAATATCATGTTTTGCCATCAGGAAGTATGGAGCCTCCACCTTTGTTCTTTATCCCTCTAGATCACTTTGATTACTCAGGGTCTTTTGTGGTTTCATAGGAACTCTAGAATTGTTTTTTTTTTTTTCTATTGTGAAAAATTCCCTTGGAGTTTCTTTCTTTCTTTTTTTAGGAGATTGAAAGAAAACATTTTGTATCTGTGTATTTTGAAACTCCCCATCCATGAGAAAGCAGCCAAGAGTCAGTTTCCAAGAGGAGGAACCTTCTCGGGGATGCTGCAAGTCCAAGTCTGCCGCTTCGTTTCTTGTTCTTTCACAGATACTGTGGTGCCACCGTGGTGCTGCTGAGGTTCATTCAGGAAGTTCATTCAGTGGTCTTGCGACATCCTCATAAGGCAGTTTGTCCTCTGTTAAGAACCATCAATCAAATTCAAGTCTTTCCCTCTGTCTGGATCCCATTGACCATTTTCCTGCAGCTTTGATCTGGTCGGATCTGTCAGTTCAGACGTACTTTTGGAGTCTCTGTCCTACAAGAGATCTCCTTTTTCCTAATCTACTCCTTTGTCCTTTCTGTCCTGTCCCCTGGGATCCTCTTCACACTTTGCTGATCCTCCCAGGTCCACAGAGCCAACACCTTTGGGTGAAGTTTTCTCAGATCACGCGGATTCTGTCTTGAATGCTGACTTCTTATTCCAACTGGATCCATTAAAGAAGTTAGCTCAGCTGCGTGGCTGAATGGTAAGGTCTTCAATTGTTCTGTGTTAATTTCAAACCAATGGTTCAAGATCTTTCCACAATTTGGCCTCAATCCTTTTTCACCTGTTCCTCTTCCAAACCACAGGGTGAGCATGCTGCCAGCTCCCTTGGAATTGGAACATGATTTGATTGAATCTGTAGATTGCACGGGTGGTATGGATACTGTAACAATATTAATTCCTCCAATCCACTAATGTAGGATCACTTCCCATTTATTTGTGTCTTTTTCAGTTTCTTCCATCTATGTTTTATAGTTTTCAGCAAACAATTCTTTCACTTCCTTGGTTAATTTAATTCCTAAGTCTTTTATTCTTTTTTAAGCTGTTATCAATAGAATTACTTTCTTTATCTGTTGACTTTATATCCTGAAACTTACCTGAATTTGCTCATTAATTTTGATAACATTTTTGGTGACATCTTTATGTTTGTCTATACATGAAGAATTATGTCATCTTCCAACAGGGACAATTTCACTTCTAATTTGGATGCCTTTTAGTCTTTTTTTACTAACCTAGTTTTTCTTCCTAGGACTTCCAGTATTATGCTCAATAGAGGTAGCAAGTGTGAAACACAATCTTTTAAAGTAGTGTATAATTAGATCCTACATATGTTTCAGAATTTCTTCCCTTAACTACTTCTTTCCACACCCTCTATGTCCAGCCAAGACATACCCTAGACATTGTCCCTTCTGGAAAAGTCTTCCATTTGGAATTAGTTTCCTCTTGTAGGCTCACTTGTGAAAATATATAAAGTCTAGCGTAAATGTCATCTTCTCCATAGATATTTTTCAGGCATACTGGTTTCTAATGAGGGATTTATCTTATGTTTCCATGTATAATCTGAAGTTTAAATTCTTGGTACCTAACCTGGGACAGAAGAATATTTTGATTAAATTACACTGTAGAACTATGTTACTTGCCCCATGAACTTAATAAAAGAAAACATAATACTCTCCTCTTCCCTTGTTTTGGGGAAGATCATCAGTTGTGAGCAGCAAGTGAAACCTCCTCGGGTCCCCTCACAAGCAAGTGAGCGGTTCCAGCTCTGAGTCTCAGTTCTTCAGGGAAAGGGCTGGGAACAGTACCACCCAAGAGTAGTTCTTTTCCATCCAGTATAACGCACAATGTCAACACTATCATTGATTGAAGCATACGATTTATGAGCTATAAAAATAAAAACTTGATTGAATCAGTTTGGCCACCAGGCACACAGATTTTGGTCCTTTTTTTAAAAATAAAGCTGTTATAGTTTTTCCTATTTCCTTAACTTAAATATATAAATTATAAATTTTCTCATTGAATAATTAAAGTTCTTAATCTACGAGTATGGATACGAGCATCTTGTGAACTTTGCTAAGCAACTGTCTAAAAAGACCACAGTTTTAATTTTTTTCTTCAAGACAATAATTAACTAAGGTTTTTGTTTATTTATTAGTTGATTAATGGCTTATTGTTCAAAAGTGTGTAACTAAATTTTAATCTAGTTTTCAAACTGACTTTGGAGCTAATAGGAGTATTGACTATAGCCTAATTATGCATTTTGTAAGTCTTCCATAATGCTCAAAAAAGAAGATGATCTCTGTAGATAGAGCATATAGCGCTTATAATTTTATTAATTTTGTTTTTCAAAATCTTTGTATATCAAGTATATGACAGATTATGGATTAAAGTACATACGTGAGTCATCAAGGGATTTTGTTATAGTGAATTCTGATTCAGAAGGTGCAGGCTGAGCCCTAGGTTCCTGCATCTCTAACGCACTCCTGAGTGAGGCCCAGGCTGCTGATTGGTGGACCTCACTTTGAGTAACAAGGGTTTAGGTAAATGATTGTTCCTTGGTATTTTGTGACATGGAGACCAAGCATCCTCATAGATAGAGGCCTAAATTGTATGCATTCCTCTTTCAGATTAGGTTTACACTTCCAAGTTTCCATTAAGCGTTTGCTTCTCTTACTTTCTCTATCATTTTAACTTTTAAAATATTACATCATCCAATAATTTCTTGACTATGCGGTTTTCTTTTTATCAACATAATAATCATCTTGTCATGTTTCATGCTTCCTTGTCTTGACATATACTCCAAATAATGTTTATGAAATGATCCTGATTTCTTTTTGCTTGATTTTGTCCAATATATGCCTAAATGTAATGGGTGCCCAATAAATATTAATCGAACGAATGAAGTTTTCATCATCTATTTTATTATTTTTGACCTTTCTCATTTTGTTTCAAGAATTGATTCCAGTAGCCTCTTTTGGTGAGAGGTATCTTGAGTTTGTCTTCTAAGTGGTGGATTTGATGTCAAGAAAATCAATTCTATTCTTTACTACTTCCATTTTTTGAAGATTTTAAAATTATTGTATCTTGAGGTTATTATACAAGTTGTCCATTCATTCACTTGTATGTCACCTGGATCCTGGTCTTTATGTTGCCTTAATACATCAAAACATCTAGTTTATAGAGGCTATTCCATTCCTATACTTGGAAGACAATGCAACAATTGCTTTCTAAAATTATAATTTGTTTCTTCTATAAGGAAATTTTCTTTGATTATTGGGTGCTGTTTCCTTCCTTTAAGCTGCAGTATCCTTTTATAAGCTCCACTTTATCTTTATTCTCATTTAGTTTTTCTTAAATACATCTATTCAGATATTACATTTATCCAAAGATACAATGAAGGAGATAGTCGTAAGTTTCTATTCAATGCACTTGGAAGCTCCTTTTGCAGCTAAAGCTAACTATCTAAGCTCTGTGCTCATTTAGCATTGCCTAGCAATACAACTTCAATGCAATATGCAGTTATTAATTCAACCATATAATACATGATACTAGACCTTCTCATGAACTGTCTCTACATGCTAAATCTACGTTCATTTGCAACACTTTTCCCATAGTTCACTAAACATCCCAACATAACATGTACTTTCTCTAGAGCTCTTTCATATGATAAATTGCATCCATGGAAGTTCTGGTATGGAGAAAGAAGGCAGAGATATTTACTGCAGGTTGTGACTAGAGAGTAGAATATTTCTAGTGGGCAAAGATACCTTATGGTCAGTGCAGAATGTCCAGACTTTCTGAGGGTCATCAGAATGCTTCACTCTAAAAAAGACATAGAGAAGGGAAGTCGAACAAAATGCTTTTCTACTTTCTTGGGCTTATGAAGTCCCAATAAGATTCAAGGGCTGAAATATGTGGTCTATCTCAAATAATATGCTTTTTAATAGAGATGGAAAAATCTACTATGGCTTTTTGAATTTATGCTGTGGATGGCATTCTTTGTGGTGATTGTTTTTAGGTTTGTTGTTGTTGCTTGTGTGTGTGTGTGTGTGTGTGTGTGTGAAGGCGTAGGAGACAAACTTATTCTGTTTTCATATTAACCCAATAATTTAACCCCCAAATGCAATAAGCTAGAGAACTAAGAGTACTGTGATCAGACTTCCATTAGTAAGATAAGTGCTGGTGAGGATGTGGGGGGAAAGATACATTTATGCATTGCTGGTGGGACTGCAAATTGGTGCAACCACTCTGGAAAGCAGTGTGAAAATTCTTCAGAAAACTTGGAATGGAACCACAATTTGACCTTGCCGTCCCACTTCTCGGGTTATACCCAAAGGACTTAAAATCAGCATAGCACAGTGACACAACCATGTCAATGTTTATAGCAGCTCAATTCATAATAGCTAAACTCTGGAACGAACCTAGATGCCCTTCAACAGATGAATGGGTAAAGAAATTATAGCATATATACACATTGGGATATTACTCAGCCATAACGAAGAATGAAATTATGACATTTTCAGGTAAATAGACTAAACAGTCTTATCTGACTGTAATTTTGTTAAAACCCTCAAAGTGCAGTAGGAAAGTTCTCTATCCCCCAGAGTCAAAAAAGTCTTTCACAGCAGAGGTTCTCAAATTTTCAAAAGGCATAGTGCTTTGAGTTCATGATATCCTTTATGGAATATCATAGAATATCGCCAATAAATTCAGAGTAATTATGTAACTCTGATTATAGCATACATACATAGCAGCAGGTGTCAAAAGTTTAAGTCTATGGCAGAAAGAGAAAAATTATATTCTTTGCTTAATGCTACTTCCTAATAATTTCACTGCCTAAATAATAAGTTTATACACATATTTTTTCAATTATTTGCTTTTAGAACTTTACAAATTGGCTTTATGATTAAATTTTTATTGAACTTTTCTTTCCACTCTCCTAAGAATATTATTTATATGAGACACCAAACACACTCTGCTTTGAAACTTTGTTGATTAATTAATTATTCCAATCTGTTATAACATGATTAGAAAGAGATCAGGAAATTATCTTCATGGATCAGGCATTTTTCTTGATCCTTTGCCTCTTTTCAGTTCCAAGTAGACTTTAATACCATGAAATCAGGATTATGTGTTCTTTGTTTTCTTGGTAAGGACAGAGATTTTGAAATACAGTTGACTTGTTTTGTCATTTCTCCTGGAACACAGCCACATGACTAAAGGATGATAAATGTTCGTTTTTTTTCTTTGTATTATTTTCTTTGGGCAGCAAACAGGCTGAAACTGAAGAGGAAGCCACAGATGGTTGTGTGTGTGTGTGTGTGTGTGTGTGTGTGTGTGTGTGTGTGTTTAATGTGACTGCTCCCTTTCTTCTTGTTCTTGTAGTACTGGGGATCAAACTCTGGGCTTTGCACATGCTAGGCAAGCACTCTACCACTGAGCTACTTCCCCAGCCCTGGTGGTGTGCTCTTAGTTGTGTATACGCATGTTGAGGAGAGTTTGTTTCCTAAAAGACCAAGAACTTTTCACTTATTTTCCACATGGTAACACTGTGTTATGCGAGCAATGCAGATTATTCAGTGGCCCTAACAAGGCTCAGATTCCACAATGACAGAGAGTGGTAACCAGAAGAGAAAGTAGATGTTTCTATTCAACATCCCTTTCAGCTCTAGCAAAAACCAACAAAACAACAAAACGAACTGTAAAAGACATTAGAATTTTCCACCCATTTCCAAAGGCCTCAGGATTAGAATTCTTTGCTTCTTCATAGCACTGTCTCCTTCTACAACATTCTTCTCAGTTGACCTGAAATGAAACATCCATATGACTGGTGAGCAGAGAAGTGTGGATTAAGATTGTTGCTATTCATTCCCTGGCTTTGAAGTAAGACAATAAACTTCAAGGCCAAATTAATAGGGGAGAGAATTTTCTAAATTTCTTCTTCTGTATTACATCCTCTTTCCAAGAAAGCCTTGGCTGTCATGGGCTTGATTAATTATTCCAGCCTCATAACAGGATTAGAAAGAGATGGTTCCATGGGTAGTAGGGCTTGTGGGAAAGGAAAAGGAGAAGGAGAAGCAGAAAACAGATCTTAATGCCTTGATTTCAACTCTCTAGCTTCAGCCAGTATTGGGTGTTAGGAAAGAGCAGGTATATTACAGAAGAAGGGAGCTCTTGGGTCTTATTTGGATCCTTGCAAAGAACCCAAACACAGGCCAAGTTGGGATGGAACTACATCAGAGTTTAGTTTGGCAACAAAGAGAGTGATCAAACAGAGATCACCTTGAAGTTTGCTTTTCATTGCAAAGCATGGACAGAAACTAAATATTCCTTTATCTCCTAATTGCAGGGTAGAGCCAGGGAGAAGGAGGGAAATGATGGAGATATCAGGTGATTTGAGAGTCACAGGGCATGGATAGGGGAGGTGTAACAGGATCTCCAAACTTGTCTTGGGATGAAACAACAAAGTAAGGGGCCACATGGAGTTCATGGGGTTTGTTGTTCTAGAGAGAGCTAAGGTGACCCAAGTGGTCAGGAGAACAGCACTGGGCTCTGCCTACCAAGATAAACCAGACCATGTGTTGCCCCAGGTGAGGCCCTCTGCCACCAGTGCAGTGGACAAGCAAGCACCCAGGCAGATAGGATCCTCACCCCAAGCATGAGGACTGGAGGAAAGGAGAGCATTGCTAAGAGACCCAGTGATCCCAAGCCAGGTGGCACGAAGGCCTTCCCGAGTGCCCAGGGAGACAATCAGGGAGAATCTAGGAAATTACACATTTCTTTTTACCAAAATATAAAGATCACAACCTGAAGTGATTACTTAAATTATCATGCTGGCCATCTTTTTTTTGTTTTTTAATTTTAAAATGTTTGGTACCAAGGATTGAACCTAAGGGTGCTTAACCACTGAGCAACACCCCCAACCCCTTTTATTTTTCCTTTTAAGACGCGGTCTCACTAAGTTGCTTATGGCCTGGCTAAATTGCCAAGGTTGATTTGAACGTAGGATCCTCCTAACTCAGCCTCCCAAGCCACTGGGATTACAGGCAATGTGCCACCACTCCTGGCTACCCAGATTTTTTTATACATAATTTTTAGAATACATTTGACTGCATATCTAAGATATGGTATGCAAAAATTTCAACTCTGTTACCAACAAATATTGAACAAATTAAAGAATAAATGAGGGCTGGGATTGTGGTTCAGTGATAGAGCACTTGCCTAGCATATGTGAGGCACTGGGTTCAATTCTCAGCAGCACATATAAATAAATGAATAAAATAAACATCCACCAATGTCAAAAATTTTTTAAAAGAATAAATGAAGCAAATAGGACATAAAAGAAAAAAGCAAACAAGGTACTTAACGTTTTCATCTACATCAACAGTAGAACTCCCCAGCAAGGGAAATATTAAAACCTAGGCCATTGCTTTAGCACTAAGATTATGGTTCTTTCCCAAGTGCTAGTCACAGTTAAGGGTGGACCTGAAAAAAAGCATAAAGTAGATATAATTTGTTTTCAATTCTCCCATGACTCAGCTTTCTACTAAGGTACCCAGTTTATTTATTTATTTTTAACTGTAACAAACATCGTGCTCTCGGGGAAGATAGATATTAATTACAAATCTCAGAATATATTTATTGATGCCAAATGATGAAAGCCTTAGTACTCTTATAACTTCTTCAAATACAACCAAATCGAGTTTCCATAGCAACTGCTTTGGATTATGAAAAAGATATAGGAGGTAAAGTAAAAATGTCCTACCATATACATAGTGTGGCCGTGAGCACATCAACCTCTTTGAGCCTTTTGCTTTTTGCAAAATAATTGCTCTACCTGCCCTGTTCAGTTTGATAAAGATTAAAAGAACTACTTTAGTAAAAGTCCTTTGTGATCTTTTAAAAGTGTAGTTATAGTCATTAAGTCAAGGACCAAATGAAAGGTATAGGGAGGAAGGCCTCCAGAATTCCCTTAGTAGTGCTGTGGACACTGCTCTGGGATTCTTTAATAGCATGGATTCTGTAAGAAGGAAAGAGGGTTCTACACACCCATGTAAAGTACTGTGGTCATAGAATGCTTAGATGATTCCCTCCCAATCCTCTCCTAAAATTAAAGTAGCCAGGGAGCACAGGTGGGACAGGACACTGGTCTCATTTTCCCAGAGAGGTACATATAAGTGGTGCAGAAGGAGGTGGATTGAAATGAAAGCCTTCATGATGTAATGTGATTGTCTGCAAGGTCAGAGCTCCCTACTGTCTCCAAGGTCAGAGCTCCCTACTGTCTCCCAGCAATGAAAACCTTGGTTTCTAGTTCAAGAACTTCTAGTTTTGTTAGTCTTCCTCAGATTGTGAGGAAGACTAATGAAATTGCCTGTGAATTTTCACTTCTGTCCATGACAGCAGGGACACTGTTTTTTGTTGTTGTTGTTGTTGTTGTTGTTGTTGTTGTTTTGTTTTTTGCTCATTGTCATCTAAGAAATTATACATGTTATTTATATGATGATTGATAAGCTCAGGGTCTACACAAACCTGTGCTACAGCTTAAACAATTATAACTGGGTACAATATGTGTTAGATAGAAATTTGAAACAATCATTATAATTACAGAAGTAATTAAAAATAACTCACCTTTCACAAAGTGTTCTAGTTCAGACAACTAATTATATGACCACCTCACAGGTAAATCACCTACATGTAAATCAGAACTTGTGAAAATGGACATGCTTTTTAAAGCCCACATTTAACCAGCTTCCAAAGTCTTCCTCAGTATAAAAAAAGTTCAAAGTTTGAAGAATTAGAATTTCATTTTGTTTTAACTAATA